GGGGAAAGCTTACCCCGAGATATATTGGTCCATTTAGAATTATTGAGCGTGTTGGAGTTGTTTCTTATAGATTAGATCTTCCAGCATCGATATCGAGTGTACACGATATCTTTCATGTTTTGATGCTCAAGAAGCATTTGCGTGACGAGGAGCAGCAGTGGGTGATTGATGCACCAGAGATTGAGATCCAGGATGATTTGACTACCGTAAAGATTCTGGTATGCATTCTTGCTAGAGAGAATAAAAAGCTTAGAAATAAAATTATTTCATTAGTGAAAGTTCAGTGGAACTGGCAAGGAGCCGAAGAAGCTTCTTGGGAGCATGAGGAGGATGTACGTCATGACTACCCACACCTATTTGAGCACATAAGATGTTGATGTTTAAGTATGCTTCTATGCATTTATGTTTATATATGATGTTCAGCCACATTTATATTTAACGCTAGAATGGGTCACTTAACACATAGCTTCTAACCATTCGGAACATATGGTATATATATGGGGGTTCCTTGTTTGAATTTTTCGCCCGACGTACTAGTTTCGTTTAGTTAAGGGTTAAGTGAGAGTACACGCATTTTAGATCGTTAAGTATAAATGATTGCTTATGTTTCAAATCTGGGGATTAATGGTACAAGATGTGTACGGGAGGGTTTCCTTGTCTTGATTATCCCCTCTTAGTGTTTTTCTCGTATTATTAATCTATTGTGCGGCGATCAAATTCGAGGAATGAAATTCTTTTAAGCGGGCCGAGGGGGGTTGGGGGGGGGTGATTAAACCTTAAAATTTGAAATAATATAATTAATATGTGATTAATTATGATAAGTGAATATTTATCGTGATAAATATCATTGAATGGTATATGAGTATGATACCAAGTGTTTTGAGTGTAAACAAGTTCATACGTGAGCAAAAAATGAGTCGAAACATGCACAATGGCTAAGGATCTAAGTATCTGATAGTTTGTGGTCCGATCGACCGCCGCATATGAGCGGTTGACCGCCGATCAGAAATCAGGTTTTCCTGATTTGAGTTAGTTTCGGGCATTTTCGGGTCCAAGTTCGTTTCTCTGCTATATATATCATATATTCTCGAATTTTTTAGAGTTTTGATACCCTAGCAGCCACCAAACACTTCCTTAAAACCTTAGTTCTATTTTTGAGTTTTCAAGTGCTTGTGAAGCGAATTTCATCGTGAAGGAGAATCGTTTGGTTTGTGGCTTTTAGATCTGACTTGGATTTGCAAATTTCGTGCTTTTCAACAATACTCAGGCAAATTTCATCTCTGCTAACCCTACTCCCAAGTTTTTTAAACGTTTTTAATGAGTTTTAATATGATTTCATTGAGCCTAATCGACTAGTTTGAGTATAAAAGAAAATCTTTTATATTATATGAATAAAGACCAGATCTTTTTGTGTTTAAAAGATTAAGAATGAATTTTCAGAGATGTTTTAAGATCTAAAAGTATTTAACAACGTTGTTTAACTGAGTTTTGATGATTTATTCTTTGTATCGATATTTCGTGCATGTTTAAGGGTTTAAATGTGATTTATCATGCAATTATTCATATTTCATGTGTTTAATGATATTCAGAGATGTTAATCTAGTGTTTAAAATATTCTACACAAGTTTTATGATGAATTAAACAAGTTAGAATCACGAAAAACATGCACGAGCACAAAATCACAAAACCTGCAGGGCAGGCTGGAAATTTGCGGTCCGGTCGACTGCCGCTTAAGGCGCGGTTGACCGCTAGATAGGCAGAAGCCTGTCGTTTGATAAGCGCGGTCCGGTCAACCGCCACTTAAGTCGCGATCGACTGCCAGACAGGCAAAGGCATGCGCATGTTTTTCACTCATGTTTTCTTTTTCGAGTGATTTTCTCGACCTTTCAAGTTATACTATGATACTTATGAGCTGTTTAACATCGGTGGTGTTTGTGAATACCAGATATTGATAATCACACTGAGATATGTGCATGGATACTTAGTTTATGTTGATGTGAAATGCATAGTCAATATACGTGACACACGATGAGTTGATAAATGTTGAGATAACAAATGATAGCATATAGTTCATCAGTTATGGGTGCACAGTGCGGTTGTTTATCCCATAATGAGACCTCGGTTGTACCACACTACGAGTATTTGGTTGTTTTTCCCGTAATGAGACCTCGGCAGTACCAATACTCGAAGATGATCGGTGGTTTCCGGGTTGGGCTGATATGTCTGCACTCCGTAGTACGATCATCTGGACGCATAATCGAAATAGGAGAGATAAAACCTATTACTGCAAAACGATTAAGTAAGGATGTTAATCCACATGTTAATGTGAGAATATTACAAGAGTATCGTTATGTGATAAAGACATATATACAGTTGTAGTTTACACCCATGATAGATTACCCAAGAGTAGGGTATACCTTTGATACGTGGCATACATGATATGGCCTATGGTGGTTTTGAGTTGGATGATATTTCCTTATGATTACGTCAACTACCCGAGGGTAGTTCGAGATGTGACATACCATAAAATGGTATTTCTCCTAATTTAGGACTAAATTAACTTCTTTGCAACGCTGCAAAACTCGAGACAAGTTAGCTAAACAACCATCAAAAGTAGTCTCATACACGGAGAAGTCATCCATAAACACGTCCATAATGTTTTCTATAAAATCAAAGAAAACAGCCATCATACATCGTTGAAAAGTGGTGGGGGCATTACAAAGACCGAAAGGCATGCGCCTATAACCAAAGGTCCCATAGGGACAGGTAAAAGTGGTCTTTTCCTGGTCACTAGGATGAATAGGGATTTGGAAAAATCCCGAATAGCCATCTAAATAACAAAAATAGGATTGCCTTTCTAACCTTTCCAACATCTGGTCTATAAAAGGAAGTGGAAAATGATCTTTTCGGGTTGCCTTGTTCAACTTTCTATAATCTATACACATTCTCCAACCCGTAATCGTCCTAGTAGGAATAAGTTCATTGTTTGCATTCTTGACTACGGTCACACCACCTTTTTAGGAACCATATGGACCGGACTAACCTATTCACTATCTGAAATAGGATAGATTACCCCAGCACCTAGTAGCTTAAGCACCTCTTTTTTAACCACTTCTTTCATGTTAGGATTTAATCTACGTTGGTACTCTATAGAGGGTTTATGATCATCTTCCAAGAGAATTCTATGCATGCAAATCGATGGGTTGATTCCTTTAATGTCGTTCATGGTGTATCCTATGACCTTGGGATGCACCCTAAGTGTTCTAAGCAACTTATCAGTTTTATTTTTTATTCAGACATGCATTCACAATCACAGGATAAGTGGAGTTAGGGCCAAGAAATTCATACCTTAAAGAGGAAGGGAGAGGTTCTGATACCAATTGTTAGACCCTAGAGGGGGGGGTGATTAGGGTCTTATGCTAATCTAAACCCAATTCAATGCTAATTAAAATTATATAGATCAATATGTTCTTGCAGGCGATGGATATGAACAATAAGAACAATAAGGAAATGCACAAATAAAATGTGATACAATCAAAGCACAGACACACGATATGTTCACGAGGTTCGGTCCCCACGACCTACGTCCCCGCTCCTCACCTCGAGGAGATATCCACTATCACAATCCGGTTTGGAAGCCGGAACTTCTACACACTCGGTTTACAAGTTCACCGAAAACTCTCACACTACACAATCACTCAACAATCACACTTTACACACTAAGTGTAGGAACCTAGCCCGTGTCCTCCTCCTCAAGTGCTCGATTATAACCTCTCCCTAGGTTCGTCAATCGACGCCACTCCTATTGGATTTGACCTCGTCTCTCTCTCCTCACACTCCTCTCGGTGTACAAGTGTGTTACAAGTGAATCTCAGAAATAAAGGTTCAATACAATGATTTGTTCTCAATTAACAAGTGAGAACACAATAAAGCTCACACTCACTAAATCCCACACTACAACCCACAATATATAATATGAGAATATCAAGCTTAATACATGTGTGTGATAATAGTGAATGAAACTCAATTTTAGAAGAAGAGCAGCAATGGAGTATATATAGCACCCCAATACAACAGCTAGAAATAAGTAAAAGACCAAAAAGTCCATTTGAAAAACTAACCGTTAGGCTCATTCTGACAATTCGTCGGTCGACCGGTCCGGTCGACCGATTAGTTCAAAAACCCAGAGAATCGAAGTTTTAAAGCTGGCGGTCGACCGACGTAAATTTCGGTCGACCGAAAATTCTCTCGGTCGACCGGTGCGGTCGACCGGAAAGCTCTCTGGAACTATGCTATGAAAAAGAACAACTGTCGCGACCGGACCCCGGTCGACCGAAATCTGATATACACAAAATGACAGGTTTTGGGCAGTTTTGAAAATTCGTTAAAAACCAAAAATAGTGAAACTTTGGGGAAAGTTTATAAATGATGAAATGAACATGTTTGAAAAGGAATTTTTAGAAAAACAAATTTCGTTTGTGAAAACTACCTGTTTTTGAAAAATGCTTAGAAAACCTGTATTTTTATGAAAGTGAAAGTTTGATATAGGACTTGTAAATATTCATATATATATTGTGCATATAATATATGTATATAGTGAAGTATGAAGGAGCTGTAAACATGAGATAAAGTATTTTAACAACGTTTAATGAAAGATCATCTATATGATAGAAAACGTCAAAAATTGTGTTAAGTGTATATATATTGAGCTTAGATATAATCATACTATATATGTAAGTAAACTAAACATATACCTAGGTAAATCCACGCAAATGAACTTGAATCTTTAACGCTTGATTAACGGGTGTTGAAATACCTGAAAAAAAGAACATAAACACAAAACACTAGAAAACTTTTTAGTAATAAATTGTTTGTCAAATCATCATCAAAACTATAGGGTCAACAGCTTTATCCTCTTCATAACTAGAAACTTTTGTCTCTAACTTCAGACTTTCAGACTTTGCATTCCGAAATGGAGCAGCTGATGTTGATTCTAAAGATTAAGCATACGCGGCTACCTCGGGGTCTTTATCATTTATTAAACCTTCACTTACCAAACACTTCTCAAGTGGATCAGCTGAGTAATGGTTTGCAAGTTGCTCATGTGTACACTTGTCAATCACATCGACCATGTAACAAACTTTATCAGTTAGAGGGAATTTCATAGCATTACTTAAATCAAATTCTATCGTTTTCTCTCTAATATTTAGGGAGATCATTCCACTTTTAACATCGATTATAGCACCTGCAGTAGCAAGTAAGGGTCTTCCTAATATAATTGGAATGTTAGAATCTTCTTCTATTTCTAAAATAACAAAATCAACCGGGATAAAGAACTTACCGACCTGGATAGGTACATCTTCAAGTATACCTACCGGATATTTTACCGATCGATCCGCCAATTGGAGTGATATCGTGGTTGGCTTCAAATCACCTATACCAAGCTTCTTACAAATAGACATCGGCATCAAACTTACGCTTGCACCTAAATCACACAAAGCACGGTTAATAGAGATATTAACAATAACACAAGGAATATAAAATGAACATGGATCTTTAAGTTTAGGAGGCAACTTGTTTTGGATGATAGCACTACACTCCTCAATAAGGACCATAGTCTCGTATTCTTTCAACTTCCTTTTATTAGATAGGATCTCTTTCAAGAACTTAGCATAGGAAGGCATTTGAGAAATAGCTTCAGTGAACGGGATATTGATGTGCAACTTTTTCAAAATCTCTAAAAAATTTCCGAACTGCTTTTCTAATTTAGCCTTAGCTAACCTTTGGGGAAAGGGTAGAGGAGGCTTGTAAGGAGCGGGGGACACATATTTCTCAACTTTTTCTTCTTCCTGCATCTAGGTCTCATTCTCCACATCTATTACATTTTCACTTTTCTCTTCATGATGACTATCTACCCCATCATTTTCCTTCATATTAGGTCCCTCATGTTGTTTTTCACTCCTAAGGGTTATGACATTCACATGACCCCTGGGATTTGTCCCGGGTTGTCCAGGTAGCATGCCTGAAGGCCTAGAAGAAGAGCTAGCATTTTGCGCCAATTAGGTGATTTGTGTCTCTAGCATCTTGTTATGTGTAGCTAGGGAATCCATCTTAGAATCCAATGGTTCTACTACCTCATTCGTGGTTTGTTGTTGTTGCTTAAACTCTTCATTCAGTTTTGACTGAGTCGTCACAAACTTTTCCATCATATTTTCCAAATTAGACCTTTGGGGAGGGAGATTTGATTGAGGAGCACGAAAACCAGGTGGACCAAAATTAGATGCAGGCATGGAATTTCCAGGTGGGTTTCTATAAGATAAATTAGGATGATTCCTCCACCCCAAATTATAAGTGTTGGATAATAGGTCTCCCTTCTGATTAAAGTTATTAACATAGTTAACATGTTCATTACTAGAAGTATTAATGGGTGGGGGGTTTCCTAATTGACATCCAAGTGTAGAATGACCCACATAACCACATATCTCACATGAAATTGAAGTAGACGCCACAGAATTAATACTCAAGCTTTCAACTTTTTTAAACAAAGCATCAACTTTAGAGGGTATATGATCTAAAGCATCTATTTCATACTTGCCACCTTTCAATGTCTAAGCACACTCGTTCGCCCATTGATAGTGATTCTGAGCCATGTCTTCAATGAGAGTGTATGCCTCATCTATTGTTTTGTTCATCAAAGCTCCTCCTATAGCAGCATCAACAGTCATCCGAGTGTTGTAAGTGAGCCCGTTGTAGGAGGTGTGAACAATTAACCATTTCTCCAGTCCATGGTGAGGGAACATTCTTAATAATTCCTTGTAGCGTTCCCAAGCTTCATAGAGTGACTCTCCTTCCTTTTGTACAAAGCTTGTGATCTGGTTCCTTATCTGTGATGTTTTACTTGGGGGAAAATACTTTGCAAGAAATATCCTAGACAACTGATCCCAAGTGGTGATGGACCCAGCGGGCAATGAGTGCAACCAAGTCCTAGCCTTGTCCTTTAAAGAGAACGGAAAAAGTATGAGTCAAATAGCATCATTAGTCACTCCATTAAGCTTCAAAGTGTCGCAGTACTCTAAGAAAATCGACAAGTGGAGATTCGGGTCTTCAGTAGCACCTCCTCCAAACTGATTTTGTTGAACCATTGAGAGCAATGATGATTTAAGCTCAAAATTATTAGCTTCAACAGTGGGCATTGTAATACTTGAATGCGTGCCTTGAGCATTTGGGGCAGCGAAATCCTTAAGAAGCTGATTCTGATCACCCATTGTAGCTTGTTCTGTGTTCCTTTGCTCCCTTATATACCTTCTTATCTTTACAAGAGTCACCGATAGTTCAGGATTATTTTCGTTGTGTACTTTTGTTTGATGCCCTTGCATAAAAGAAAGTGAGTAGCGAAGAGAATATAAAAAAAATCTAGTCTAGCTTAATAATGTAAGCACTTAATATTAACACCGTAGTCTCCGGCAATGATGCCAAAAAGTTGATAGGCAAAATCTGCAAGCGCACAAACTCGTTGTAGCTATCAAGGTCGATCCCACAGGGACTAGGGGTTAATTATCAAATTTCATGTTATTTGGCTAGCTAAAATAATGAGTAAATTAGAAGAGATGAAAATTAAAAGAAATAAAATAAATAGCTAATCAGGTGTAATTCAATATAATGAAGGGCCAAGATTGGGTTTTCATCACAACTTCGATGTTCAATGATGAATTATTTTAGTTCTCAGTGTTGGTTTAAACTAGAAAGGGTGAATTAGCCTACATTAATCTAAAGCCTCTTTCAAGATCTAAAGATCGTGCCTAGTTAATCTTAATTAACATACTTTCATGGAATCAAGATTAAATTAAACACATTAAGCTTTATGCTAATCCAAATCAAATCCCCAAGGAATCTAGCCTACTTTCGTGGTTCGAAAGCCCTACTTAATTTCTAGAGGTCCGGTATTAATCTTCACCTTTTAGTTCTTTAATTAATTACCTATGATTGCTAATACGGTGATCAAACGAATCAACAAAATTGAAACACTAAAAATCAAGTTTAAAGATGTAAACTTTCACCAAGAACATATATTAATTCATCATCAATCACCAAAAAGTTAGGTTCTTTCCCAATCCTAGATAAGAAATCTACTCACACATGATTGAGATAAGAGAATACATCAAATAATTATGCAAATCAATCATAAGAAGAAATACATTAAAGAGAGGAAAGAATTAACCTATCTTTCAATTGAAATCTTCAAAATAAAAACTTACAATCCAATCTTGTACAAGAAATTATTGTCTTCCTTTAATACTTGAACTCTAAAATAGTTGCTAATTGACTGCTAAGAGAACATAACAAAAGATATCTAAACCCCAAACCAAAATATCTATTTATATGTCCCCAAAAAATCTAGAAAAAGATAAGGCCCGTGCTATGGGTGTGGTGCGCACCACACCAGGGTGTGGTGGAATCTGTTTTGCTGATTTTGTGCTTGTTTGTCTAGTTTTTGGTATTTTAGCTATAACTTTGCGTCCGACCTCGGAATGAGGTGATTCAAGTTGCATTAGAAAGATGTTGAAGAGATTTACAACTTTTATCTTTTGAGCTTTTCTGGATTCAAATTGAATAATGGTCGAAATTCCAGTTCTTCATACTCGTGCATCCATTTTCTTCACGAACCATGCATTTGAAATCTTGTTGTTGCTTCAAACTCTTGTTCATCTTCCAACGACCATCGAATGTTTCAATCTTGAGTCAATACCTACACATAAGAACACAAACAACAGCAGTATCCTTGATCTAAACACAAAATATGCATTAAACATCCGTAAATCATGCTTGAAACACACTGAGATAATGCATATTTTACGTGTTTATCAGATGGGTTGTCAGGTTCTATGGCGGTTATTAGATTTAGAGTTGTTAACCAAAATCTCATTTGGTTTTGCCAACGATGGAAATTGTTCCCATCAAACTTCTCTGGTTTAGCTGACATAATTTCACTTGTAGCCATAATCTGACGATGAATGAATAATTTTGCTATTATAATGCAATAAATATAATTTAAAGATTCAAACAACAGAATTAAGTGTAGCATGTCGGTTTTATAAGATGTAGACTACATTAATATAAGAAACATAATACGAAACATAATACTAAACATACTAAACATGATATTATTCTAAACAGCTCAATTAGATTCTTGGATTGAGGAAATATTAGCTGTTTAGACAATAATTAACACGAATTTAAGTTTTTAACAATTAATAAAAATAAGATATTAGCCGAATAAAATTATAACACGAAAATAAAATTAATTCAAATGAAAATAAATAAAGTTTAGAAATATGGCTTGATGATCGAAGTGTGCACTAAGCACTGTCCCAAGAATCTAATCGCCCCCTCTCATACATGGCTTCGTGGCAATGGATCTTGGAGATACGACAACCCTCGGTCAGGTGACCTCCTTCTCGTCGGCACGAGCTTCAAGAAAGCTTTGTGAATTATTCGTAAACTTTCAGGGAATCATAAAAAATGTAATAGCAATAATAAATATTAAAAGACTAGTGAAGAAGAGAAGAAGAAGAGCAGTTGTATTTTTGCCTTGTCTTTGGCGCTCACAGCTTTTGGTTTATATAGAGGAAAAAACAACTGTTTAGCTTCACAATTAGATCCACAAATCTCACGCAATAGTTTAGCTAGCCGTTTAACACGTTTTAAATGCTAATAAACATTACCGTTTAATACGCTTTAAATTCTAATTACGTTTTAATTGTTATAAACGTTACGTAATAATTTAGCTAGCCGTTTATTAATTGTTATAAAAATTTAAACGTTAATCATGTTTTTTAATTTACATCATATTAAACATGTTTTAATTTTTTCTAGTTTATAAAAAATAAAAATCTAAAATGTAGCAGGTTAAGGGCCCCTCAATCCGAAGCTGCATTCGTGTCCGTAGATCGTGGGCGCTCGCCTCCCGACTCGAACCCGAACCCGGCCCGGCCCGGTTCGGTTTGGCGCGCGTGTGTGTGATATGGAGCATAACCCATGTTTTCTTCTAGGCATAAGAGAGAAAGGGAAGGCTTATAAACAACCCTCATTCCCATCTCTTATCCAATGTCGGACTAAACTTCCCCACTCCAAAATCAAGTTTTAAGTTATAACTCCAACACCAACTTCGTAGCATATTGATGTGTCTTGATACTTCCTTCTTGCTAAGAAATTTGAGGTGGTTTTGAAGGTGATGACAGTCTTGCTGGCTCCATTTGGAGTTTGCATCAGATATAATGACATATGTCACAACAGCACGAGGTATGTCTATCATCAAATATATATTACATACTGAATTATTGCTAGAAGTGCATGGATAACGGCCTCGTGTTCACAGTATCATCTTCAAAAGCAGCATGATCAATCATCAGTAGTAGTACATGGAACTATATTTGGTCACTTAATCACCTATTATAGGCGATATCATCGATATTTGAATGTTTGGAGAAATATTAATTCTTACATCTTGCAAATAGGTTTTGGTATGAGCTTAGTTGCAGTGGTGAATTGTTTTAAAGATTTTTTATTTTTATTTTTTACGTATTAATTATTAAGTTAAGAGAATAATATGTAGTTGATTGACTACAATTTGTTGATATGGTTATGTGGGTGTGTTGTTTAATTAACACACCCACATGTTGATTAAAATGGTTGTTCATCTCTAAGAAAAATATTTTGGTAGCAATAAGTGAGTACCTACTATTTCACTTAGACAACTCAAAATTTACCAATTTTTAAGTTTTACACCTGCAAAGTATTTTTTTTTTAATATTTTGATATCCCACTGTTTCAATCGTATTTTAGTTTCATACCCCGA